TTTAGTAATGACAGGTACATTGATTCGAATCTCTTTTTTTTTTTCCCCCTTACATGACATTGATTCGAATCCATTTAACCCGAATGCTCAATCTCTCAGGATCAAAACGCAAGAAACAAGTTTAATTCCTGGACCACAACAAAATGATTCATGACATTGTAAAATTGTATATTAATTATATAACTACATTATTGGAGATCTATATTATCCTAGAACTGATGACATAACAACTGAAGATAACCTCCGAGGTGAAAGACCATATTGGCTGATTTCCCGCTTTGGCATTATAAAAATAAAATCAATGCAGATTATTCTTCATTATAAGAAGGTCATGGTCATCTAATCACAAAGGATGACATCATTACTAGGGAAGTTAGGTAAGATGAATATTGTCATCACACACTAGGCCTTTAAATTGATAACAAGAAGCGGACCGCTCGAATCGTACCATGTATTTTCATTTTTGAAAATTTGCAATCTATCCGTACGTTAAACTTTAACTTTTGAACAAAGACTCACATTTTAAAATGGCAACAGACTTTCCAGTTTACGGGACTAGTTAGTTAGAAGATGATGCATATAAGCGAATTTGATCTAAAAGTGAAAACTTATTTCCCAAATTTAGGAGACTAGTCAGTTAAAAGATTCTGTATATAAGTGAATTTGACATCACATCCTAATCTAAACTATTAAGACAGTAAGTTCATCAGTCTTTCCCCTTGTATATATACACGTATATGTATTAGTTATTAAGGCTACAATTCTATCCAACGTAAGGCTTTTCAAATATCAAATCAAGTTCTCTCATACTCCTCTGGTCCTAAATATAAGACCCCTTTCATAGTGTAAATTATACTACGAAAGTGGTTTATATTTAGAACCGGAGGAGTATTTAACATTTTAACAAGTATCTCTTTAAATTGATTTTTTAAATTTTAATTATTACTCGTAATTAAATAATAAAGAATCAAGAGTTTGATAATAATTCTAATAAATAAGTCTATTATTTTACTTATAATCAAGTATATCACAAAGTATAGAACTGATTAAATTTTATCAAGTAATGTTATGTCCTTCATACTGGGGCAAGGGGCTTCTAATGCCCTACTCTCTAATCTCTAATGGCCCTTGAAATGCCCCAACCTCTCAAGTGTTCTTTTTTTGGGCTTTTCATTATTAGATTCTACATAAAATTAGTGACATTTTAATATTCTATGAGAAAAAAATGGAGCAGTTTTGAATTTTTATGATTTTTTCAAAAAAATAAATAAAAATGCACAATTTTGTGGTAGTTTTCTCTGAAAAATCATTAAAAAATTCAAATCTAATAGTGAAAAGAGAAAAGAGAAAAACATTCGGGAGGTTTGGACAATTAGAGGCCCCTTTCCCTTCCCAATCTCTTCAATGTATAAAGACCATCTTTCTCTGTTTATGGGAAAAAATAAACTAATAAGCAAAGCCTGATGATTCTTGTTACAGTGGTTGTCCAACTCCGCTCGCCAGTCACACCTGACCCACACAAGATAGGCCCAAACCTCTCGTATCTCTCCATCCTCACAGCCAACAACATCAAAGGATCCAATAATGGAGGAGGATATCTGGACAACAGATTTAGGTCCAATAGTTTCCCCCCATGAGAAGCCTTTGCACTCATGATGAAACAAGCTACACGTTTAAGGTTAAAAAATAAAAAATAAATAAGAAACAAGCTAGGCCTTTCTCTCAGGCAACAACAATAATGATGAAAGTTAGATGAGTCAGTTCTCGGAAGTTTATTAGAGCTAAAGCTTTAGCTAGGTTAAGGTGTGATTGGCCATGTGTTTTCTGTTTGAGTTTGTAAATGTGGAAATTGAATGAATATAAATATTTTTGAAGATTCAATCATATACTATCGAGCATGAAACAACTATTTAGATCGCAGCTAAATTATCAACAAGTAATTGCTGCAGTCTCTGGTGCTGCTGAGTTAAATCCTCCACACCAGCGAGCACCCCCGGGCCCGGAGACGCAAGCAGTAGTTGCTGCACCCTACAATGTGAAGATCTAGCTTCCACTGCACAATGATGCCAATATGCCCGTTTGAACATGTGATGCTTAGAATAAATCTCAGGAAACCTATACCATTTGGAAAATTAGAGGATATATATAAAAGCTATTCTTTTGATCCAAATTAACTTTTGAAATAGCGGATTACAAGTGACATTTTGTTAGATTAAAGGTAGATATTCTATTATCTATCCGAGTAATCTTAATCCTATCACAAAAGAATTTAGAAGGAAAACAATTCCCAATTCCGATAGACGTGAATGCCTTTATCAACGGCCCTTTTACATTGTTAAACCTGCAGCGACAAAATAGAACAAATAATACCATTCCTCTATTTGCATGAACCCATATGACTCGGCTTGCGGTCCTATGATCAGCGACGGTATAACATGCTGGACATATCAGTGAGGGCAGACATAAACGACGGCGAAGGAAAAATGCCTACTCAAAAATAGTAATAAGGAAAGCAGCAGCTACACACACACACATATCAACAACTCTGAGTTAGTTGTCGACAAAGATGGCCAAAGGGGTGAGGTCAATATATTAATCTGCAAATAGAGTACATTATCCAGACAAGAGTATATAATAATGAATTTGTCACAAACAAATTGCTACTGACACTGTAACTTGATAAGTAAGCAAGTATAGTAAGTAATGAGAAATCATGCCACCTTAAATTAAAGTCCCAGTCTCAAATCCAGAGCGAAGGGAGAGGAGGAATCAGGGGGGAGAGGGGGAGGCAAATTGAGGTCAAGGCCACAGCCTGGATGATGCAGATGGGGGATGGAAGGATGAGGAGGCTCGGGGTCTGCTTTTTCCCAGTGACGCCTCATGTGACCACCCAGCGCTTGCCCACTCGGAAATACCCTCAGGCATCTGCTGCACTTGTGCTCTTCCAAAACCATCATCATCTCCTCATCTTCGTTCGCGAAACACCCCTTCACATTCTTGTGGCTCGCCCTGTGCCCTCCCAGAGCCTGGTGTGACCCAAACACCCTCTTGCAACTGGAGCACTCGAACCGCGACGCTCCCGCCCCCTCCGAGTTCGCCAGCAACAGAAGACCGGCCGCGATTTCGTGGTCTTCTGGGGTCATGAGTTCTGGTGTTTGCTTCTCCGGAGGAGGCTGTCGTTGGAGATTTGGGGGCGGGTTTATGCCGCGCCACTGCCGCTCGGGATGACAGCGCATGTGGCCGAAGAGCGCCTTCCATGACCAGAACTTCTTGCCGCACTCGGTGCATGGGCGGGTGATCATAGGCGCGTCAGGGCGGGGTTGTTTGGCGTATTTGGGCTTGAAAGCCACCTTGTGGTCCATGATGGCAATTCGTTTCTTTCGTTTACTTCGAGAATGCTGTTTCTGGGTGCTGCTTGGAGTTGTGGATGGATCAGTAACGGCACCGGCGTCGGAGTTGGACATTGCGATTAGAGTGGGTTTCCTGTTGGAAAGACACCAAAAAAGTCTTAACGATGGAAGAGGAGGGGCTTTTATACATGGACATGGATTGAACCAAGCGGTTACTGTAACGTCTCGGTTGAAGTGGGCGGTTTCTTCCTCCTCCTCCTCCGATCCTCTTATCTGGTTAATTTAATTTAATTTAATTTAATTTTGATTAATTTAATGATTGGGTCCAAACTATTGGGCCTTGAGTCTGGTCTCTGGGCACTCCCCCTCGGCTGCTATCTTCCGGTTTCTGTAGGACTGTTGCTTCTTTCTTTGAGTTCAGGCCTCATATATAGAAAAGATGCCCGACATTTCCGCCACCTGTTAAATAGTGATGCGTACAATGAAGGACGTGGGAAAATGACTTCATGAACCACAACTCAACACTGATTTTCCGTTGCTTCGTATCAGGTTTTCCTTTTAACTTTTTCCTAGGGTAAACTTGGTTTTTTTGCCACCTAAGGTAAACTCAGCTGATGAGTGACATATGGAGCGGGATACAAAATCATAAAATATATACAAGGGAAAGAAAAGAAATTAAATGCACGCAGGCAGCTGCTTAGAAAAGGTCACGGCCAGCTGGAAAAATGGGATGAACAAAATCAGTCATTCCTTGTAGTTGTGAATTGTCTTGGATCACTCGCTGATATTCTTTAGATTTTACCCAAGAAATTTAAAATTGCAACGGGATGCAACTCTTTTAGCTGCGAAATGTGAGGGGAGAAAAAGATCATCTTCGCGTCCTTCTACTCTATTTCAAAATACATTTGCTTGCTGCAATGTAGGATGTGTGTGTGTGTTCGGGCGCGCATGCATTGTGACCAGGTCACCAACTATGTCAATCCAAATCATTCTATTCCCCTGGTCAAAAAAATCATTCTATCCCAACATCAGGATGAGGGTCTGTCACGAATGGGCTTAATGACCTTGCAGATGAGGTTCATACTGGGCTTAGGAAGTGTATGAGTTCGCATGAAAAGAATTATGGTTGTATGGATGGAGCAAGAAGATGTTAATAGAATTAGGGTATATTGGGCAAAAAGATTTCAATATTGGCGTAAACATCTTTTGTTGCCCACTAGAAATTAAATAGCAGGGCAGATGTCATGCATCGAACTGGATTGTTTTTAATAGGAGAATATCGATACCCAGCAAAAAAAATTATAAAACATCACATTAGATATTTATTACATCTTTTGTTTTTATATATTTCCTTTATTTATTATTAGCGTATATTTATGATTATCTAACTGAGTCAAATTCAATTATTATCGGATCCAATTGGGAACAAAACTTTCAAGAATATTTATATGTTAGAAGTTGCACCATATGAGTATGAACGAGGGAAAAATCTAAAACCTATTTTATTTTCAAGCAGAGTTGATTGGGATGACATATGTATTTTAATATAGCTTATAATGTATTTGGGGAGAGATTTAAAATGCATCGTTGGCAACAAATTGAAAAAAACGCGTAATTAACCTTGACCAATTATTTGGAGCATTTTTCAACCAAAAAAATAAATGCATCCGCAGCTATTACATTATTTGCAAGGTTAGATCTAGAAATTGCAATCATTTATCAGGGATTTTTTTTGGGTAAAAATTTAGCTGGGAATCTACTTTAATATACTACCTCCGGTTCTTAATATAAGCGTTAATTTGACTTTTAATTTAATTCTCAATTTAAAACATCAATCTATTTTGTTTCTCATGTTTATCCATTTTATTCAAAGTAATCTTTGTAGTAGTTGCACATATTAAATATTTCTTCAAATGGTAGTTTTAGCTAATACATATGATCAGCAAAGATATTCTAGGAAAGAAAACCTATTTATTAAAAATAATTAACTTAACAAACTTTCTTAATCTATGCAAATTAGTCAACTATCTTTTATATTAAAGATTGGAGGTACGAAGGATGAGCTGCATTGTTTATAGTTAATACTCGTTGTAAATTTATTTATTATACATTTTTTTGACACAATGGAAAATAATATTTATTATACATTTTGTATTTTATATAATGGTGATTTTTAACATGAAATTATATTTGATATGGTATTAAAATATAAAATATTAAGTAACAATCATACAGAGAGTACGTACTAGAAAAACATTATACAGAAATAAAAATTAAAGGTGAATGTAATGATCAAAATATCCCTAAAATTTCTTTTATGAAGATTTTTTCTTTATAAAATTAGTTAAGTATGCTTTAATTTATACAGCATATGTGAGAATGAAATTATTTCGGGATGTTGAGGGAGAATAATAGTTTAATTCAGTAATCTTTGTTAATAGCTGAATCGTTTTAAAATTTTAATGAATACATTACATACATTAGAAGGAGTGAAGGGAGACGAGCGTCAAAACGGGTGTGAACTTGAAATAAAGCCCAACCACGGCAGTGAAAACAAATACGAGTATTATTTGAAACCCAACCACAAGCTAGAAAAGCTACATTACCGTTGGCAAAAAAACCATCGCGACTCTTCCTTTCTTACGCAGATCCAACGGCCACTATTTAGTAGCCGTTGTTTTTAAAAATAAATTGTCTCTCCCCGACATCTCCGTCTCAATTTCTCCTTTTGTTTCTTAAATCTTTTCTTGTTCCTTTAATTTCAGCCACAGAGAGAGAGAGCGAGAGTTCGCGTGTGTCTGAGTAGAAACCTCACAGGGGCAGGGCATTTCCTGAAGTTAAGCTGACTGCTTACGCATCAGAGGCAATCCTTCTTGAATGCTGGTGGATTATCTTATCCCATTCATACTCAATTATCTTGATTTTGTTGCTATTCTTTTTCCCCTCTTGTCATGGATCTTGGCTTTTCCTTTTCTTTCCTGTTTTATGATTTATGGTTTTTGATTTCTTTTTGTGGCCGAAAATGTCTAGCTATTGCCTCTGCTCGGACTGAAGATAAATGGGCGGCTCAAAGGCAAACCAAGACCATCTGGGTTCGCTGATGCCTTCATCAAATCTTCAAGGTTAACAACTTTGATATCTGGGGAAGGAAAAAAAGATCTTTACTGGTTATCCTTTTTATTCATGAAACAATAATTAAGTTGGAGCATACACCAAGGGACGTTTATCTCTTGAATCTGTGACTGATTCTTCGCTCCCTTATATTTTGTGGTCTTTAATTACAAAGGCGGTTCAAGAATGGAGGGCATCAAGTTTATGAAGGAGATGACCCAGAGTAATCGTCGGGCTCTGAGCAATATCAATCAGAATATTATGGAGGCTACTCATAAGCCTTGTGTGGTCAACAGAAGAGACCCATTAGGGTAAGTTCTATTTCTGTTGAGGCAAAACTCTGAAAATCTAGTCTTGTGCCGATATATCATCTCTCTATGTTTTTTTTTTTCTCCTCCTGAGTTATCAAAAATACCATTGAAAAGAATTGCAACTTATTTATGAAGGTTCAGTTGAATGTCTCTTGATCCTTTGACTAATAAGTTTTCCTTTGGTATTCTTTTCTTACAGAAGATATACAGCACAGACAGTTCAGCACTGCCCTGAAGTACTCTCTTCAGACCAAATTTAGATGATGGACCTGATCATTTGATTCTGGCTTTTCTTTGAACATATTTGAATAGTTACAAATGCGGTTGATTGCCTTTCAGGAAACTAAAAAACTAAGCCTATTGGCTCCGAACTCCAGTTACCGGTTGGACTGTGAGATAACAGATATTGGAGAATACGAGGATGTTGGTGACAATGGAATTCCAGTGTTTGTGAAGCACACGGAAGCAATGCTGGACGAAATTGACAGATTAGTGAGTGCTTTAATATTCAACTCATCTCATGTATAGCTTTGCATGATACGCTTAAACCAAAAATAATAGCACGGTATGTTGCTCGCAGGAGGAAGTGGAAATGGAAGACGTGGAGGAGCCTGTTATGGACATCGATGTTAGTGATACGAAAGATCCACTAGCAGTTGTTGAATATATAGATGAGATCTACGAATTTTATAAGAAAATTGAGGTAAGATTTGAATTTTGTAGTGGGGGAGACTCGCTTATAGCCAAACAAAGCTCAGAAAGTGACGCACTCCTTTTAGGAGTCGAATGGAAAATGGGATTTTCGGAAAGCAAGTATCAATAGAAATCATCTGAACAGCCGGATCTGCACATTCCCCTGGGCAGTCTATAGAAAATGATATAGTTGACTTTGAACAGTAGTAGAACGCCTTGCATTTCGTATAGCGTAGCTCAGGATATGAAACGGGCTTCAAGCTTTATTTTCATGATTTGATCAGTTCAATGGAAAATATGAAGAATAAGGAAAAAAGTTGCTATAGTATGTTGACCCATTAGCTCTTTTGCAGAATTCCAGCTGCGCCTCTCCAGATTACATGGCTGGCCAGTTTGACATCAATGAGAAGATGAGGGCTATCCTCATTGACTGGCTTATCGAGGTACGACATCTTAGTCCCAAAAGTTTTCACGCTCACGCGAAGATCTATCAATAGCAGTATCAATTTTCCTCATCGATATCAATCCATATAAATTATGAAATTTGCTAGTTACGATCTAACATTCCAAAAACTTCTGATTTTAACATAGGACAGAAAAGGATATTCGATTTTAAGATAAATTGAATTCAGTTGAAATTCATGATTTCCCCAGTATGGAATATGAGCCCTCTCAACTTACAGTTGATCTTGATCCACATCAAACAGGTTCACTACAAATTCGAGCTTATGGAGGAGACATTGTACCTTACCGTCAGTCTGATAGACAGGTTCTTGGAGCGTCAGGCGGTGATCAGAAAGAAGCTTCAGTTGGTCGGTGTAACAGCCATGCTAATAGCTTGCAAATATGAGGAGGTTTCCGTCCCCACTGTTGAGGATTTTATCTTGATAACAGACAAGGCATACAAGAGGGAGGAAGTTATAAATATGGTGAGATCTTCGTTTATTTGTTGGTACCCTTGCTTCCCTCCCATCCTTGAAATGCAGCTGATAGACTTGTCCTGACAGGAGAAGTTAATGATGAACACGTTACAATTCAACCTGTGTGTGCCTACTCCATATGTGTTCATGAGGAGATTTCTTAAAGCAGCTCAATTTGACAAAAAGGTGAGTGATACTGTTCCAAGATTACCATTTCCGAATGAATTTGATGTCACCGCCGAGTAAAGGCTTATTATTGTGGGGAACTGAACCAGCTGGAACTCTCGTCCTCCTTCATAATCGAGCTTTGCTTGGTGGAATACAAAATGCTCAAGTTTTCACCATCTTTGCTAGCTGCTGCAGCCATTTACACAGCTCAGTGTAGTCTGTACCAGTTTAAGCAGTGGACAAAGACGAGTGAATGGTATACCAATTACTCGGAAGCCCAGCTTCTGTGAGTTGCTCTTGCCAGTGTTCCTTGTGTTGAATGTTTATTAAGTTTCATGAGACATGAATGGTCATTATCCCTCACGGGTATTTATCTTGTGTGCCGACAGAGAGTGCTCAAGAATGATGGTTACTTTCCATCAGAAGGCTGGGACTGGAAAACTCACAGGAGTCTGCAGGAAGTACAGCACGTGGAAGTATGGTTATGCCGCAAATATGAAACCAGCCCTGTTTTTGCTGGGCTCTGATTGAAGCTCGTAGACTAATACTCTATCTTCTGCATATCGCAGCAGATATTGTACTGTTATGTTGAAGAAATTTCGCTTCATCTTTTTTTCATCCCTTTTTTGGTCATTACAGTTATGAGCATCTTTAAGTATTTTTAATGTCTCCCCCCCCCCCTTTTTTTTTAGTGCTACTATGATTAATGATACTTCCGAGCTTTGGCCAGATCAATCAATCTAAACTTCGTCTAATGCACTGTTGCACCCCCCCCCCTTTCTTTTTCCCTTCTTAACAGTACAATATCTTCTGCATATCGCCGCAGATATTGCACTGTTATGTTGAAGGAGTTTCGTATCATGTTTTTCCCCTCTTTTTTTTTTTTTTTTTTTGTTATTACAGTTGTGAGCATCTTTTTTTTTTTTGGAATGATAACTGAGAGACAAATAATAGGAAACAAGATACAAGTCCAGGCTAACCAAGCCTATTATCCATTATCACTTTCCACCTTAAAACTTAGAGGGGAAGGGTGATCAAAGACATAAAAATTGCTGCTCATCCTATAAGATATCTTTGCTAAAAGATCTGCCAAGGGAATCCTCTCCCTTCTTTCTATATGCCAAAAAATAATATGCCAATCCCTATGTATAGCTATTTTCACATCATTCACTAAGTCTTTGAAAGGGTAATTATAATCTCATCCCCTAGCTGCCAGATTAATTGCCTCAATACAGTCCGAGAACATACAGATGCTTCTGAAGCCTTTAGCCCAGCATAGATTTAGTCCATGTAGGAAACCCATGAGCTCCGCAATAGCTGGGGTACATTCGTCAGTTTCGTGCTGTGAGCATCTTTAAATATCTTTAATGTCTTTTTCTTTCCCCTTTTTTTAGTGCTATTATAGTTAAGGATGTGTTAGATCTTTGGCCTGATCAATCAATCTAAACTCAATCCCGTGCACTGTTGCACCCTCCCTTCCTTTTTCCCTTCTTAGCAGTACAATATCTTTTGCATATCGCAGCTATTATGTTGAAGGAATTTTGCATCATGTTTCTTCCATCCTTTTTTTTATTGTTACAGTTATGAGCATCTTTAAGTATGTTTCCCGTCTTTTTCTTTTTGTTTTTTTAGTGCCATTATGGTTAAAGATGCGTTCGAACTTTGACCGAATCAATCAACCTAAACTCAATCCAATACACTATTGCATCCCCCCCCCCCTATTTTTTCCCTTGTTAAGAATGATTGCACAATATGTTTGAAACTTGTCTGAATTAAACCTGCAATCACAAACGCAGAGCACTCGTGGTTTTATTTTGAGAATCGTTAATGTAATGTCCTAATTCCTAGTTTATTTGTATCCTTGTCCTTCTCGATAAAATTTATGAGGTCGCCAAATGTCTCCTCACTTGAAATTAAAAGTAAAACAAGCAAATCATTGAACAATCACAAACGTAGAGCACTCGTGGTTTTATTTTGAGAATCGTTAATGTAATGTCCTAATTCCTAGTTTATTTGTATCCTTGTCCTTCTCTCGATAAAATTTATGAGGTCGCCGAATGTTTCCTCACTTGAAATTAAAAGTAAAACAAGCAAATCATTGAACAATCACAAACGGAGAGCACTCGTGGTTTTATTTTGAGAATCGTTAATGTAATGTCCTAATTCCTAGTTTATTTGTATCCTTGTCCTTCTCGGTAAAATTTATGAGGTCGCCGAATGTCTCCTCACTTGAAATTAAAAGTAAAACAAGCAAATCATTGAAATTCACTCTTAGGTGTTCAATTACACCGTCTCCTTATAAGAGTATTTGGTTCCACAAGTCTCATCTGTCAATGTCTTGTCATTTTATTTTTGAAATTTCAAGTTCGCATACTATTTGTATCCTGCTTTATTAAAGTAAAAATAAAATTCCATTAAAAATGGAAAAACTTGAGCGTCCAGATGATGGACCATGTCACACATTCTTCATTATTCACAATCACATGCCCTCATTCCAATAACAAAATCTGCTCTACGCGAGAATTATTATAACAAATTCAAATGGATATTGCAATTTCATAAATTTTCCAGAATATTACGTAGACATCATAATTAAAGCTTGATCCAAGAACCTCTGGAGGCGTGTACAAAATGCAGCATCCACGTCATCTTCGCAGCCGATCAGATATTTGAATCATATTCTACAATTGCCGGCTGGATTGAGATAGTGAATAAAAATCAGGAGGAACTGAATCAATAATTCGAGTTAAGATAGCAACACACCAGATAGAAAAGTTAACAAAATGGTGATTTGTGAAATACAGTCAGAAAGTACTCAGAACTCAGACGGAAAACAGGGTGTATAATCACAATGGCTTCAGGAGCAAAGATAATTGAGCAAGTAGTGAGGAAAAGCAATATTTTATTATATTTCTACTTTAAACCCTGCAAAATCCTAATGCAAGATTTTTAAATAAATGAATGAAACGCAAAAATTATACAAGGTCGATCAGTTTGTACTCACTGCAATAGACAAATTGGTTAAAATCAAGTGTGACTCTGCCTTGTTTCGCTGTATCAAATGAGTTAAACAGATTCCTGAAAGACACAATACAAGATTCTTGTTTCAGCAAGCAGTAAATCCAAACTTCAATACTTTTCTATTTTTTGTTTCTTTTTCTAAAAGCTGGTACGGATATAAATAGTTGTCCAACCCCTCTTCCTGAAAACTAATGAATAGGTAAATAAAATAATACTCTCAACTTGAAGAATGAAGACCATGTTTACCGAGCAGACTGTACAAATATACAGAGAGATATGAAGTCATCAAGCCGAAACCTTCCATTCTTACTTTGATCAAAGCTCTAAAGAATTCAAAAGAAATAGTTAGCTTGGTATTCTGGATTGCAATATTGCACAAATTAGTTCACCAATTAAAGTTTTCTTTCAAAGGCAAAATTCAGCCAACAGCGTTGATAATTGATAAATTAATTCAAAGGTCAAGTACACTACATTAGTGATTTCTCTGTCTGACCCAACAACAAAGAAAAAATGGGAAGACAATAAAAATCGAAGCATGTAGACAGTGACGTAACAACTTCTCCAAATATTAATATATATATTTTTTTATTGGCTAACTACAGAATATTGGTCGATATCTTCTTCTTTTTTTTTTTCTTTTTTTTTTTTTGCGCAATGAAACTGAATATCGGCTGATATCTTTGACAAAATGAAGATGCTTTACCTCGCAGACAGTATAAAAAGCAGGAGAATCCAGCATGAAACCAACTTTAACCAATGCCTGAAAAATTTATATGGAGATTAAGCAAAATTAACTAGAGAGAATCATATCCCTATGCAGTATAAACAGGAATATGTAGACTCCAGTTTACTTTATTCCTGGATCCTGACAAGCATCTAAATCAAGGGCCTTCTTCTGCATTGAGTTATTCTTAGAAGGCAGGGGGTAAAGAAGCAAGGCTAACGTTTCCCAAAAAACAAAAAAAATCATATCCAGCATCAAAGGAGCTTAACTTTTTGCTGTTGCATCTTGGGGAGTAAAAACTATAAAATTTAAAGGTCAAATTGATTTAAATGTCAAATTGAACGAACTATATGAGTATTATTCTAGCAATGCATGGTATATAATCAATATTCAAGAGCATTAATGATGTATGACCATATACCTCATGTACATCTTCAGGTACAAGAAAACCACGACCTCTGCATCAATGAACCCAAAGAGTGTTATCTACAATCTACAAATTCCTTAAATAAGAATAAAACAATAAAGCTGACATTGTTTGACACCCAAAAACCAGTATATCTGAGACTAAAATGGGTGTCAAACTTTTCAACCAAATTCAGTACTCAGTATCACGTCATAAATGTACCATCAAGTTAAAACAATATTAAGATTCAAACTAGTCATGCTCCCATGGCTTAAGAAGTCCATAATGTTGATCGCTTTCCTGAATGGTCTTCATCATTGAGTAAATCTCCTAGAGCTACAGCCCCCCCCCCCTTTTTTCTTTTGAAGACTTCACATAAAAATGAAGACACGTGATGGGAAAAATTAATAGATCACCTTTCTAGATCAGAAAACGCATGTTGAACCTGCAAAACCATTGAAAGTCATATGAACATATAAGTATTAATATTATTGAATAACTTATGAATCTTCATTGCTAATGGTGATGCAGTAGCCTCATAGAAGTAAGGTGAATTTGAATTATGACAAAAAATGAACATAAACATTGAGGTAGTCCACTAGCAGAAATCAGCCAAAGGGCTACAGATATGTCATCTGGACTATCTTAATTAAAAATTACTAACCTTGAGAAGGAACTTGTTCAATGCAACAAATTCTGGGGAAAACATTAATCTTAGGTTAGAGAGAGACTGATAAAAAAAAAATTTGTTTTTCCAAAAATACCAATTAATTCAGAGATCAGCCACATAAACGTTTCAATTACTTATGATTAGATAAGAGTTTCAAGATGGTATCAGGAAGGCATCTGGTTGTTCATTCCCTTGGCATTTTTTCTAGGTCCACACATACATAATCCAAGTTACCATTGCAGGGAAACATTCGTTGTCCAGCTTCAACATGCTAACATAACTCCATTTACAAACCACGCACCCGCACCCCCACCAAACTATGACAGCAAAAATTTCTCCTTGATGAGGATCTTCAATATCAAAAATGCCCATACTAGTAACATGATATTATATTAATAAAGAAAGGCACCAGGTAAGTTAAAAACCAACATACAGCCATACAGACACGGCAATAGGCGTAATAAATCACCTTCGAAATTCATCGTACCGTTCCTGTCGAAATCATACATCCTACAGGAGAAATTTCAAACAGAACATCACGTCATCCAGGACAATCAAACAAACAAGATACACATTTCTGAGGAAACTCCGAAGCATAACACGGTTAAGCGAAGAGCGAAGTAGGGCGAAACCAAACCTGATCATCTGCTGAACAACTGAGAGGGGAAATTCGAGGTTGCCCACAGACAGAGCTCTCTGATTATCAAAAAATTTCATTCAATGAAAGAAGTTTAAGACAGAGACAGCTTAAACGGAATAAACGGGAAAGCGATGAGAGAAGGGAACTCAAAAAAAAAAAAAAAAAAAAAAGAACCTTGAGTTGGAGAGCTGTTATGTTTCCACTTCTGTCTGAGTCAACTCGATCAAACCATTCCCTCAATATGGCAGTGTTCTCCATGTCAAATTCTCGACTAGTTAGCTTCTCAATTGTCTCTTGTTTCGCTTGGCAGAACTGAAAATCAGACTTCTGCAGTCCTTTTTCTTTTTTTTCTTTTTTTTGCGCCAAGGACTTCTGCAGTCCTCCGAGTCGCTATTCATGCTTTCTGGAAGACGAGAAAAGGGACCGCGACGACGTCGTTTAGGTAAAATGACTTTAACATTCATTATCGTGCTCCATATATCCACATCGTATGTACATTTTTCTGCCACGGCTTAGACAAGGGCGTCGCACGTCACATGGGGCCAGAGATCCCACAGGCCACGATCTCTCGCTTTCAAGAGTCTGGAGTGCGGGCGTGAAATTTGAGATCTTTTTTTGGGAGTCAGAACGGCAAAACTTCATGGCTTAAAATACAAATCCACTTATAAAGAATTTCATCACAGAGATCTAATACCATTAATTTTTCTTGCATACAGAAGCATATATAAAGCTTTTAAAATAGCGCTAAAATATCATGGCCATTAAATTAACTAATGTTGACTTTTTAATAAATATATAAGTCAAAAAAATAGTGCAAAAATACATATAAAATTTTTAAAATAATACAAAAATGTCACGGTTATTGAGATTTTATATGTATTTTTGTATCATTTTTTGTTGTTGATATGTTCATTAACCGATCAATGTTAGTTGACTTAATAGTCATAATTACACTAGTCTAAAATTTTCATGTTTATTTTTGCATCTAAAAAAACTTTATAACGTTTGGCGTTTCTAGCAAAATATTTCATGGTACCTTAATCCAAATCTCACTCCACTATAAAACAGCCAACAACGGAAAGTATCAGCAGTTTAGCACACCAAAAGCAATGAAAAACGCACCAGACAGCGGAAAACACGGAAAATCAAAACTAAGAGAAGCAGCAAAAATGGAAAGAAACAAACCGAAAAAACAGCAGTATCTAAACAAAAGAAAATGAAGTCAGAGGTTTCGCAACATCAAATCCTCGCTTCTCCAACGGAGTTGTATAAGCACATCAATCAGCAGCGAGATTGCAATGTTTTGGGATCCCCTGAAGAGCTCTGACAAGATGCAGAATTTCCTCCACCAAACTCAAGCGTTCCAAGCACAAGATTTCCTTTCTTGAACTAGTGAAAGACAATCACATAGAATTTTAGAAAAATTTCAATAAAATGACATTTGAAATTTGAAATTCCAAAACGGCATTGACGACATTTTATTGAGTTTGATTACGTCATTTATAACAACTTTTTTATTATTTCAACAGTTTGAAAAAATCAAAGTAAGGATCCCAATAACCAGACTATTAAGGCTGCTAATGGGAGATGCCCCTTGGAAAGGGCTGAAATTTAATTGTGATGGGGCTTCTAATAAATTCAATAAAATTGCTGGTATGGCTTAATTAGTAGGAATCAAGAGGGCGATTGCTTGTGCTTAATGGGACATGTTGTTGAAGCTCTTTACCCCTTTCCTAATAAACAATATTCCTTTTGTCTTATTTATAACTCATTTACAACATATTTTATATAGACTAAAAAAAACTTTACACTTTATTAACTTTTATTTAAAATTTAAGAACTTCCCAACTTTATTCCTATTTAATATATATTATAACTTATAAGAATAAAGTCAACACAGTATTAAATGAAGGGTAAAATTATACATTCAGATGAAAATTTTCTCTTCTTGCCCTATAAATATGACCAAAAATTTTTTCTCTCTTTATCTCATAAATAGGACCAGAAGAGTACAGTAAAAGCAAATTGATGGCAAAAAATGCAATAAAAGCAAATTACTTTACACCGTATTTTGCTTAACAAAGAGAAGGGAATGTGAGGAATTTTAATAGATGGAATGGAAGAAAAGAGAGAGGGAGGAAAGATATAGAGGGGAGGGGAAGGAAGGGGAGGAGAGGGAAGGAATTTTAATTATTCTTTGTTTGAATTCATTGGAAGGGAGGGAAGGAGAAACATTTTAATAATATCTTATTTGGTATGATATAAGAGGGAAAGGGAGGATAGCTATTCAAAAATTAACTATTTCACCTTTATAAATGAGGAGAGGGTAGCAACTTCCCTTTCCTTCTCTATGAAAAACTTTGTACTAAACACAACATTAATGTTTTTAATTAAGATATCAATTACAAAAACAGAAGGCTTTTAATATTATCTTTTATTTTTAATATAAGAACTAATTTGACTTTTAATTTTTTCGTGACAATGAACTCGTGACAATGAACCCGTGAGGGCACTTCCTGTATGCTGTCCATTTTTCGGGTCTACTAAAGTAATATCGTCAATCATTAATGGATTCGATTGTTGTTTCGGTTCCAATAATTATTGGATTGACGCTTCCTATGGGGGCGTGTTGCATGTAGTCCGTATTTGCGTGCAGCCCGTGGAAGGAAATGTGACAGGTAAGAGTCAACCATGCTATTGGGAATTGGGATACGCACCGAAACCAGCCAACACATAGGATTTTATTGAAGCAATCCCCATCTCGTTTCTCCCGCTTCGTATCTAATTTATAATTGATTTAGGATTCGGGCGTGGAAACGTGGAGCACATTCAATTCTTTTTTCCAAGGTCGGAGGAGTCTGAAATTATAAGCGGGACTAAATACGTAATTTCTGCATATTAGAGGATTTCAAGGCACCAAACTATATGAACATTATTAGCTCCACTGCATTTTATTGATTGGCAAAAATTACCCATAGCACTAACATCTTTCCGCTTTTGAAATAGATTTTTGTAAATACGACAAGCTTAAGCCTCAATAAAGACAGCGAGCTAGAACTATATTCTAACGGAACGAAATAGACTTTGTTGTTTATCTCCTAAGTCCCAAGTGTTTCAGTATAAAAATTTTTTATTTATTTCAGTATAAAACTTATTTATTTCATATTTTGTAAATTATTATTCAAAAACTGCTCTTGAAAAATTTTACTCCATTTCAAACAGGCATTAAAGAAATTGGACTATAAAATAATTGATGTAAAACGGGAAGAAGAAAGAGGAAAGAAGAAATAGAGAAGGGAGAAAAGGAAACAAGCCCAAAAAATAAACGATAACTGGAATATCATTTAATAGTCAAATCTACTGTCTAATGAGAAACCTAGAATTACTTATACTAAAATAATAATAAAATTGAAAATAACAACAACAACAATTAATCCTAATAATAAAATACTGACAAATCTAAATAAATCTTAAGAATCTAATTAATCTAAATGTCCTAGATAATTCAAATATTCTATGATTCTAAAAATATAATAAAATCATAATTATTTCTTTCCAGATCCCATCATTTTTTCCCAGCTTGAAGAACTTGGCTCTAGACAAGTTAAAAGTGATGCGTAAAGCTAGGGAGGTAAGGGCGGGATAAGACTTTGATATGATACTTCAATTTGGAAATTCTTTCCAACAAGTGAGGTACCAGAAAATGGAACAATGGCATGAGTGAGTAGCTTGATCTTGGAGAGCATCTGGAAAACCTCTCCAACAGACAAAATACTATTGAAAAAATTTATTTGGCAACCGGACAATCTTGGGAGGTGCAACTTTCAGATAAGGTGGCATTGTAAATGATGAGACTGATTTTTACTGGCCACAATCTGAGAAGAAATCACCTTGTTTGCCAGTTGGACAATTGGATCATCCCTAGCAGAATTATTATCGCTAATGGTAACAAGATTAGAGACCTCACTTACTTCAGTCACAAGCAGGTCCAACAGTGCATGTTGAGTAATGGCCTCCAGATGAGTTGGAAGTGCCACTTCAGTTAGATTGACGATATCTTCTTCCGTGTCTAGTAAAGGAGCTTTGAACTTTGTTGGCTTGGTTGTTTGGAAAGCCTCTTCTATTTAATTCTATGACTTATTGAAAAATTTTATAAGCTTATCAATTCCCTCATCCCCTCTCTTTTCAAACTTACAAACACATTGTCACATGCTTGCTTCTAGCAATCAAATTTTGCTTCAAATTGTTCTATTCACTCCTTGCAATCAAGTTGTCATTGCACAACATGCTCATAACTCTCGTAAGCATGATTAGCATACTTATATTTTTTATGACTGGCATATTCATATTAACCATTGTCTGAGTAATGGTATTGATATTCATCATCTCTAAAACCTTGTCAGTGTCAAAATAAAGTGTCATATTCATATCGGCCCTCCATATATATGCTTTCTTTATAGCTTATATTCACAAATCAACAGCATCATAAGTTCTCTTTTATTCTACTCTTTTTTTCCCCATTTTTCCTTCTTTTTTTTTTTTACTCTTTCCTCTCTCTCTCTCTCTTTGCTAAATTATAAAATGAAAGTAAGCAGATAAAAAAAATAATATTCCTAAAACAGTAACAATAATAGACAGAAGCAAAAATAGTAACTTGTATGTTAAAAATTACTCCAATAGTATTATGATGATTATATTTGGCTGCCAGGAGATCCAAAATTGAACAATGGCTGAATGGGATTGTAAGTAAAATGTTCACAAAATTGGGTCCTGAAGTGCAATTTTTGCCAAAACTCTAGGAAAAGTGTAATCTTTGTGAAAATTTAATTCTGGACGTTTCCAGGTGCGACGGGGCATGGATGCCCGTCAAAAGGCTGTCGGCAATGGAACTTTGGTGGTCGGTCATGTTGTTCAAGGCGAGTCAGGCTGGATTAGTTTCGAGGCGTTTTATCGTTGAGAAAATGGTTGAACAGACGGTTGAAAGTCGGGTTGTAAAAGAAATTGAGGAAAGACGTGTATGGATAAAAAGAAGAAAGTCTAAACACAGAGAAGGAGAGGACTTGGCTCTAATGCCAAATTGATGCAAAACAGGAAGAAGGAAAGAGATAAAAAAGTGCAGAGAAAGGGAAATAGAGAACAGAGAAGAGGAAACAAGTCGAGAAAAAACGGAACCTGAAATATCTTTCAATAGTCAAATCTGCCGTCTAATGAGAAATCTAGAATTACTTATACTAAAATAAAATTAAAACTGAAAATAATAACACGGAGAACTAATCCTAATAATAAAATACTAATAAATCATAAAAATCTAACTAACCGAAATATCCTTGATAATTCAAATATTCTAAAATTCTAAAATTATAATAAATCATAATTATTTTTTCCATATCTCATCATTAATGTTTGAAAAATTAGATTTATTAAATCCTGATGGAGACTAATTTGTAATTAACGCTTTGATCAGGATCTCTAGCTTTTTCAAGAAAATTCGTATGTAATTATAAATATATTAGATATTTTATAATTTCGTAAATATATCTGTGAAATAGTGATTAGAATAAATAACGATGCTTTTAGAAGTTTCATTCATTTTTTCACATGATGATAAATCTATGTAAAACTAAAATTATTTACGACGAGTTTAACAAATTACTAACTCTAGTTCTTAATATAAGAACCTATTTAATTTTTACTTTGGTCATAAATATAAAATTTCAATTCATGTTGTCTCTCATATTTATCCTTTTTTTTCAAGGTAGTCTTTCTCATAATGGTAGTTTTAGCCAATACACTTATTTAGCAAGGGTATTTTAGAAAAGATAACATTATTTATTACAAATAACTACTCAAATTAGTTAACTAACTCTTATATTAGGAATCAAATGTAATATTATAAATTCCTACTGAAAAACGTCAAATTATTGTCTTTTAGAGAAATCAAATTTTAATCAGCTTAGTACCTTTCTTACTTTTTTATGACTATTAATTAAATTTATATATCTGCTTTTTCTGAATGCATGATATGTATTAATTTAACTTTATAACTGCGTATTAATTTAGATTTTGTTATATAAAAATAATTTTTAAAAAAAATATAAAAATAAATATGAATCAATCAAATTAAATCTGGATGGTAAATGCCGAGTGCATGCACCGTCTGTCCGATTTTAACTTTGTCAGACGTTCACATGTCGGGTTCAGCCGCGCATGCTTCGTTTTGGTTATTTCATCTTCTCAGTTTTTCTCAACACGAAAGTATGCCTTCCAAAGCGGCGTCTTCCAGGCTCCTGGTTTTGGTCTCATCCATCGGATAGTAGCTGACTTGGAGCCCAAAGGAAGGAAGGGCTGGAAACAGCGCGGTCCCGAGAGGCCAAGAGCGCCTCCAAAGTTGAACTGCGAAGTTTATAGTAATCCCATTGCCCTTGTGCAGTACGTATCATCTATCTCATCTATATCTACGACAGTTCTCTCACTTTCCTGCGTCGCCTTGGACATAAATATCTTCCTCAAAATGAGATTTTTTTTTGTCAATCCTCAAAATGAGATTGGGCGCCCCACCTCTGTCTTTTCAACCCAATCAAAACTCACGTGATCACCAACGAGCATCTATCCAAATGTATACGAACCGACCCCTTATCTGTTGCCACACGTACAGCTAGCCCTACGCATGCCAGTGATGTGTCGTGGGAAACATCCTCCCCCGCCCCGCTCGATCGACGCGCTATGTCAGATCATATATACATATATGGCAACGGCACTTGATATGAATAACATCCATAACTAGTAGTAGTACAGCCCAATTTTCTTCAACCGAGGACAATTTTCCTCAAGAAGAGAGGTAAAGATCACGGGACAAAACCTAACGTCCAAAACTTTCGCTTCCAATTTTCAACTGATCCATATACGAGCATAGTGATGTGCCCCTAACTCCCCAGAATTTGGTCACCACTTTGACAATCCAAACATATACAAACCGAAACTTGTTTATTATATCGCGTCAAACACAATATCTTCAATGTGATCTTCTCTCATCTTTTTCCTGTTCAAAGTATGTGCTCCTACCGCAACATATGGATCCATGTTCTTAAAGAAAATCATGACACCTGAGAAAAAAGATTTCCCTAAAAAATTAAGAAAAAATCTCAGACTGTCTTCTATGTTTTGCAGCCTCCAAGAAGTGTTCGCATTCAGTGCTCATCACCTGATGAGCAATTTGGCCGTCCAGATTAGATCTGGACGGTTCAAATCTAATTTTTTAATAATTATTTAAAAATAAAAATTATATTTTTAAAGAATGATAGTTAAGAGATTATCTTTATTTCTTATCCTATACTTATTAAATAATTATTTTAAAAAATTAAAATTTAAAATAAAATTAAATCTGGACAGTCCAGATCTGATGAGCATTGGGTGCTCATCAAAACTGATGAGTACCCAATGCAAATCCCTCCAAGGAAAGGTGAAAAGTAAGGCGGCAACAGTGACAAAAAGTGGCTGCTTGTTGGGTTATATATATATGTAGAGGGAAAGTGGAGAAGGGAGGCACAGAAGAAGAGATTGAGGATGGAGAGGAGGCAGGTGGGCATCGTGGGTGCAGGAATCAGTGGCCTGCTGGCGTGCAAATACATGCTGCAGAAGGGCTTCCATCCCATAGTGTTTGAAGCCAAGAGCTGCATAGGAGGTGTGTGGTCCAAAACCATCGCCACCACCAAGCTCCAAACTCCCAAACCCCTCTATCAGTTCTCTGATTTCCCATGGCCTTCTTCCGTCCTCCATGATTTCCCCGACCAACATCAGGTCCTCCATTACATCACCGCTTACGCCTGCCACTTTGACCTCCTTAACCACGTCAAATTCAACACACTTGTCCAACGCCTTCACTACCAAGGCCCTCCCGAGGAAGAGATGAGAGCATGGCACCTCTGGGGTGGCACAGGCCAGCCTTTCGGCTCCAAAGGAAAATGGAAAGTTTCAGTCAAGAACACCCTCAATGATTTGACTGAGGTAGCTAGCTTCATACATGCGACTCCATTATTGTATGATGTTCTGATTCTCAGAGAGAGCTCATGTAGGTTTGTATCTTGGTCCTTCTGCAGGAATACGTCGTGGATTTTGTAATCCTGTGCGTCGGAAGATTCAGTGATGTTCCAAACATTCCAGAGTTCCCTCCAAACAAAGGCCCAGACGTGTTCCGCGGGACGGTGATACACTCCAAGGACTACGCCTCTATGGATAATCAGATTGCATCTGACTATGTCAAAGGGAAGCAAGTCACCGTTGTTGGATTCCAGAAGTCTGCTTTAGACATCGCAATGGAGTGCCAAGCAGTAAACGGTGCGTTACTTACTTATTTACCGCTCAACCAAGGCCTTTTAAAGCTGATTAATGCCTGGGTGCCTTGTGTCTGGGGTATTGTTTGAACAATGAATGGTATGCAGGGAAGAGACATCCGTGTAGAGTTTTATACAGGAATGAGCATTGGAACATTCCGGATTATCTTCCTTGGGGACTCCCTCTTGCCTATCTGTACCTTACTCGTTTCTCAGAACTTCTAGTTCACAAGCCCGGTGAAAGCTTCCTACTTAGCCTCATTGCTACTATTCTTTCGCCCCTGGTAATGCTCATAAATTATTGATATAATAACAAGGATCCTGTAGTTAAGAATGAAAATGTTGATGTTTTTTTGTGAATGAAAATGTTGATGTTTTTTTGTCGTAAACAGAGATGGATGTCCTCAAAATTCGTTGAAACCCATGTTGCAAGGAAGCTTGGACTGCGTAAATTTGGAATGGTACCCCGTCATAGCTTTCATCAAGAGATAAACTCTTGCTTGATCTCATCCGTGCCTGAGAAATTCTATGAAAAGGTGGAAGAGGGAAGTATCGTGTTAAAGAAAGCTCCGGGCTTTAGCTTCTGCGAAGAGGGAATTCTGATTGATGGGGAAGCCACACATCTAAAGACAGATTTGGTAATATTAGCAACAGGGTTTAGTGGTGACAAGAAACTTAAAGATATCTTCGCTTCTCCCACTTTCCAGGACCTTATAGGAGGCTCCCCAAATGCAACAGTTCCTCTCTATAGGTGAGGCCATTTTACGATATTCGAGTCTTTCTTATTTATTATTTTAGACTGTGAACTGAATCCAAATTGACACAATTCAGATCTTCTGCAATACTCGCAAATAAAAATATATTTGAAAGAGATACAACGGAAATTGAGGAATTAAAAAAATATGAAAATCAGATGGGCCTTGAGCAAGTCATGTTGACTTACGTACTGAATGAAGTTAAGCAATAGGTAGCTGTAGAATGAAAATTGAAGAGTGTAATGGTGATTGAATGGTGGTGTGGTCAGAGAATGCATACATCCAGAATACCACAACTGGCGGTGATCGGGTTCTCAGAAAGCGTTTCGAACTTGTATACATCGGAGATGAGATGCCGGTGGCTGGCGGAGCTTCTGGACGGGACGTTCCAAGTGCCAAGCATAAGTGAGATGAAGAAAGAAGTGAAGAGATGGGAAGAGTACATGAAGGAATACTCGGGGCAGTACTACAGGAGGTCATGCATAGGGGCCTTGCATATATGGTACAACGACCAACTCTGCAAGGACATGGGTTGGAACCCCAGAAGAAAGAAGGGATTCATGGCTGAACTGTTTGAGCCTTATGGCCCTTTGGATTATTCTTCCTGATTTCCTTCACTACATTTACCTGCTTCGAATAAAAAGGAAGACTTATCATTGCTCTACTCTTTTCAAAGGCCTGCATCTCTATCCTCACTCTCCCCTTCCATCATTTGTAACTCTTTCTAATTTTACATTTTAAGAATAATTCGCTATAAAGCTGGCATTGAATCGTTCCTATTCAATCTTCTTTTTTCTTTTTTTGGGTATTTTGAGCTCATGATAAATGTTCTTTCAAGTTTTTCAAGCGTTTAACCCGTTTGTATTTCTCTCTCTCCTTTTATATTTTCCCCCACTTTCCTGACTTCGGAGGAGTCAATTTAATTGATTACAATTGGCCCAACCATATCCTGTGTGTTTGTAAACCTTTTTTTTTTTACCAGGTGTGTTTATAAACCTAGTAACTCTTAACTAACTAACGAAGCATCTCTTGGCTTCGTATACTGACGCAAGCATGTAAGCAAGTTCCCGCGTCCACAGGCATCACGCGGTGGGCCAACGAAGCTGTGATATGGCTAAACCAAGCAAATATTTAGCTCTGATCTGACTTCTCATTTCTACCGCAACTGACTAATTTCAATACATGAGCCTGTAAATGTTAGCTTAAAGGCCTTCTGATGTTTGTCCAAGAATTAAAAATCGAAAACTGAAAGTGTTTGTAAGGGTCCCAATTTATTTATGCAATATGAGAGCGGGAAGTCAAACGGCCAACTTGATTGATTTAACATAAAAATCAAGCATCCGATTTTTTTTTTTGGCCAAAAAAAAAATGAAGCATCTGATGAATACAACCATCTTCAAGTGTCAATTCCAGCGCTCCATCAGCTTTCTCCTTCAGAATACGGAACGAGGAAAAGGCAACTGCTTCACAGGTTCAAATGCTCTACAAAGGTAAAAGAAAATCTCAAGAAATTTATCCACTCACGACTTAAACTTTTCGATTCGGTAAAAGCAAAGATTACGCATACGCAATGGAACCAAGAAATTTTATTTATACACCAGCCATGTCTCAACTTCCGTCAACAGAATGTCAGACAAAGAAATTACACACGGTCAAACAGCCAAGATCATGTGCAAATTTCAGCCTTACATTTGTTCTCAGAAGTATTGACTGACCGAAGGAGTAGTAACTAACGCTACCTCATATCCACTTGCAGAGAGACAGCAACATGCCAGACCGTATGTACAATTTCAACTGTGAAGATGTGGTCAACACATTAGGGAATTAATATTTTAAATTAGTTTTTCTCATTTACTCTCATTCATTCCTTCTCCGAACAACTTTTTTAGGAGAAGCAAAACTCAGCAGGTATAAACACACAACAAGCAAGGACAGAGCGACTAATCATAAGAAATATTACACAACTTTAGGGGGAAAAATCTTGATGACTTGCGTGAAATAAGATGAACGAAAAGCCATAGAGGGAAATATGGTCAATAAATTTTGATATACATGCCACGTTGTATTTACAAGTCAATAATCCAAGATATAGTTATTAAACAATAATTATTGGAGTCATCATTCATTGCAAATACAACTAACGCCACAGTCATTTCCCCCCTTATTTTTTCTTTTTTAATCGCCAGACATTATACATTAAATCAAAGACTCTCCTTCAAGTTAGAACATATCGCATGCACAAATCTTATTACAAATATAGGCAACGCAAGGACCTCAAATATTTATTTAGTGAGAACATGTGCTAAACGATCATTGGAGATTTGGAGTCTGACAAACCACATCACAATGCAAACAGAGAATATCTTTTCTCCCATAAAGTAACATTAATTTCAATATGTTTCTTTCATGGAAATAACCCATGAAAATATATTTAAAGAATTAAGCAGAGTCTGTCCTGCCAGGGGTGAAGTCATGAAAAACATAAATATTGCCGAAGACACGAGGAAGGAGAGGAAACGTTGGTCGGTTAAGAAACAGAGTTCTGTAAGGTACCTAATGTTGAAACAGAAGGCATGCAGCTGATGAGATAACACAGAACAGGCAATCTCTATCAGGGGCCAAATTTACATTCCGCAACACCATTCACTAGAGAACAAGCACAAGATGATTAATGAACAATTCCCTATTCAACATATCTTTTGAAAGATAGTGAATAAATATTTACACTCATTGCCACTGTGTAAGGTGTGAATGGAAATACTGACGTGCAAATGAACCTCACCATAAAGCTGTCTAACTACAGCGAACAACTTCAAACAAGCTTTCATGAGAAATAACCAGGTGCAATGAGCACAATCGTTGATAAGCGGTGACAACACAATAAAATCCCGAGGCAGAACACCATGAACCAATATTATTAGAAAAAGGAAACCTAGCTCTATTATGGATACGAGTTACAAGTATGTCTACCAAGTTCACAAGATTAACAATATAAAGAAGGAAGCGGAAAGAGTAGGACCATCTTTTAAAGCTTGGACAGATTAGAATGAACAAGATGATTGTGAAGAACTTCAGGTTAATCAGTGGAAGCAAAAATGACAAAGTATGGGACCATATGATGAACCCCAGTGACTCAGTTGATGCCAATCATGTGTTCCGTACCATGACCCTGTCCAAGAATAGAATTATCAAAAACACAGTGGAGCGATCGAGAGTTTGAATAAATTTTCATAGGAAACAAGATTAAAGGGACAACCAGAAATGTAAAGGACAGAGTCCAACAGTTACCAAAAGAGATCAAGCTTAACCAGTACCTTTAGCGAGTGTTTTTAAACCCATTATCAAGAGCAATAGTAGGAAGAGAAAAAGAAAAGTATTTTGAGAAAAGCTGCGGGCCATATACGATTAGAGCTGCTATAATTGAGCCCCTAAAATCAAAGGGATGAAAAGTAAATATTACCAATTTGAGTAACAAAATCAGTGGTTGACATGCTTTTGTGCTTTGATTTTTGGGCCAGGGAAGCATGCGCAGTAGCAGACAAGAAAATTTGGAAGGAACAGAGGTTCGCTAAATTTTAGTACAAAGCTGGAAGGAAAAAAGAGCAGCAGCAAAACAGGAGGGAATAAGGCCTGAGTTGACTATACAATGACTGGCAATCAGTTCCATGCTGATGGCAACTGAAAAGGAAGTGCTGCATGCTCCAATACAGAAGCATATGGGCAACAATTTATAACTTCCAGTATGGTGCATGGGGGCACAGGCATCAACTGAAGATCAGTGAATGCGGATGGGCCACGCCAAACAAAGACAAAGGAAGTGGTTGTGCTGTTGATTGTTCAAACAAGGCACAGGAAAAGTGTAGAAACCAAGGGTTCTTGCCTCCTTTGAGGCTCTAATACGTGAAGTGAGAAAGAGATGAAGGGAAACCCTTTGTGAGAACTGAAACTAGCTAGTTCTAATCTGACATGCAACGTTGTAGTTATAGGTCAATAGTATAAAACATCAAACATTAGCAACTAGAATCCCTAAGTACAGTAGTCATCCAAAGCACAATAAGCTAGCATTATAGCCGTCTCCTAGTCACCATTTATACATTAATTCCTACGACATCAACATAATACATTTTAATGATCCATAACACAAAAAAGCAATTATAGAATTGTCTACTGACCTAGGCAATTCGTAAATCGTGTAGAAACCACCAAGGACCAGATTTTGACAGTAATCTGAAATGTAAAATAAACAACACTAGAAAAAGTCAAGTTCATTACATTGAGTAATCATAGCTATCTAGTATTAGCACATCTCACTCCGCCCCATGGATAGGGAGATTTTGTTTAACAGTAATGTATCACTACCTGACAAAACCAGCCACTGTACGAAGGGCCATTAGGAGAGTCAAGCCCAGCCATACCCCATGAAGGCCAATGACTGAAGGTGCAAATAACAAAACTGCTGAGGACACTGCTCCCACTAACATCTGCAGACATATTGTTAAAAAGATTAAATTCAATCAAATTTATTAAGCATTATCGCCTAAATAAGACATTAGGGCATAAGCAACCTACCATGGAATAAGCTGCATATGGGAAATCAGAGACCCCAAAATGAAGGCCATCAAAGATATATGCCAGAGCATTAAAAGGTTGAGAAGCACTGACAAACTGATAACAATAACAAATGACAATGTAATGTACTGTTTGAGGAACATACAGTGGCAGGCAAACAAAAGCTGAACCAATTAACAAGACATATCAAACATACCAGCACTCCCATACCAACAACATCCAAGACTTCAGGGTCCTTAGTAAAAAAGGTAGCTAAGGGTCCAAAAGATGCACCCAAAATTGCACTCAAACAGATACCTGTGAGCAGTCCAATCTAAAAAGGTAGGCACATAAGCTAATTTAGATGCTTAAATACCCATTAAACGAAAGGTATTGAAGAGCAAAGATTATCCCGGTGGCATAAAAAATTGAAAAAAACTTACTCGTAACACAAAATGAGCAATTTCCTTCACAACCTTGTAGTCACGTCTGGATACAGAACTTGCAATAAGAGCCTATATGTCACATAAGTAAATTAAGGCATATGAATGTGTGCGTGCGTGTGTGTGTGTAAATAAAAGCCAAGAATAAACAACTAAAAATTTGTGAAATGCAGTGTCTTGTGCAAACTGAACCATTTTTCAAAAAAGGTTTTATGATAGATGTCTTCTAAATGGGAGTACAACTTGACGGGAGCAGCTCAACTGTATTCAGTTATAATTGCCTTTTGTTGATCAAGTTATTAAATTGCAAAATACCTTTAGGGTTATAACAACATTAAACAAATTCTAGAGATCATACTACAAGAGAAAGAAAACTTCCAACATTACAAGATTTAGAACCCGATACCTGAGCAGATGTAGCCAGAGCATCAGTGAGAAGGGAAACAGCCAACCACACTTGCATACATATCTGATGTGCAGCCATAGCTACTGGACCTTGACGAGCAGCCATTGATGTTCCCAATGTTATGGTTATAAGAACAGAAAGTGTTCTTCCAATAAGGAAGCCACCTGTGGCAGATTATAAATCATAAAGAGATAACCACATCAGAAACTAACAGAGAGCTAAACTGGTTACTCTGAAAAAGATAGAAATATAACGAAAAACAGAAAATAGCAAGTCAGTTTCATATTCTGACTAATTGTGACAAGGGCACAAATAACACTACACTCTACCGGGGGGAAATTTATCAGCAAGTAAGAAATAAACCTTTGAAATTAACTTCTTTAAAATAGTGCTATTTTCTCAAGACTAAAGCAAGAAACAGTAAGAAATAACATTGTACGTGGGCACTTGTTCTTGAAATTTTTTTTGAAAATATTTTCCAATATATCATTTGGCTTCTTGATTGCTGTCTTCTCCCTTTATTTTTATTTTTTCCTCGGAAGAGAATATTTTTTTCAGAGAACAAAACACACGCCCTCAGATGAGATTTCAACTATATATAAGTAAGCAACATGGCAACAGCCAAGTAAGGGGACAATAACTAACCAGACTTAATATAACCACCAAACTGTAGTGCTCCCATCTTTGGAGGTAATAATACAGCTCGCTTATTCAGACACCAGATCATCAATAGAGTCACAATATATCTGAGATATCAAATTTCCAGCAAAATTATGGTTAAAATAAGCCAAGAAATATAGTGTAAGAAATCAATGTCCTTGAAAAAGACCTACTGAGAGAGGACAGTAGAAATGGCTGCGCCAGTCACACCCAACTTAAAGTAATGAATAAGTAAGGGAAATAAAATGACAGCTGAAAGATTCCCAATGCCTGTATATAGAAATATATTAGCATGCACAGAAGTACAAAGAAATAATGCAAAAGCCCAAACATTCTTCAAGACAACGACAATAAACAGAAGACATCCAAATTTGAAATAGTTCCCCATTGTTCAACACAAAGTCACAAGTGCTAAAAAGCAATATACACTCACGCTAAAAGCAACATGTACTTGTCACCGAAAAAATAAATAAATAAAAGCAACATATACTTTTCACTCTCCACCAACCATAGCCAAGTATGAAGAGACTACCAAATGATACGCAATTTAGACTACACAACCAGAAATGAACAATTTCAATTCAAGAATAGTGCTCATAGGTTTTCAATTTTCGTTACAAGGATTTCAAATGATAATTTTGAATCATGCTAAATTCATGGCTGGAGATCTAGATCTAGATTGGAACATCTTACAATCACACGTACCATTGCAATTCAACACTCCAAAAGATCCCAATATTCTTGTACAAATCCTTAAAAACCAGTTCAAATCTCTACTGGTAACAATTATTTAGGGCATCACACACCTCTGAATTTAGGGGATGATCATAGATGCAACAAAGGATATTCAAACAGGGGGGAAATTCCTCTGAAGTATTTTACCTCTCCTTGTTGTATCTCCATTGTCTCTTTCATAATGATAACCATGTGTAGCTAAGTCTTCTTGATACTGCTGTAAAATGCCTTCTTTATCATCAAGCTCTAAATCTTATATACTTAACTATTAGGTTTGAGCATGTAGAAGTGGTTTTTAAGGGTTATAATTATTCTCGCTTTGTATGAGAGCATGAAAATCGGTCATGTTCAAAGAAGGCCTTTGGATGCGCTGGTGAAGATGGTTGACCAAATGGTACAGAGTCTTTTGAAAAGGGGTAGAGAAAGGCTAAAGAGAATACTCAATGAAGTTAGTGAGCGAAATCTTTTGATTAACAGCCTATCCAAAGATTTGACTGTTATAGAGAACAATGGCATCGTGCAATTTATGTAGCCGACCTAGTTGGATAAGGCTTTGTTGTTGTTGTTGTTGTATGAGAGCATGGATATCTTTAATTGTTATTGATCCTAAGAGATAGGACCTCATAATTCACAATCAGTCCCTACACTCTAATCTTGAGTCCCTTAATTGAACCAGTAATAATAAAGACCTAGATCTTGACAAGCTTGCTAAACAAGTTCCAATATATTTAAATAGAATGGCCAGTAATCTTACGAGCCTATAGTTCCAATATATTTAAATAGAATGGTCAGTAATCTTAAGAGCCTATTGACAAGTTTGCTAAACCAAGCTACCCGTAGTTTTGAAAGAATTTACAAGCAACCATTAGTAATCTTAAGAGCCTCTATGAAAACTTTTATAGAGTAAGGGGAAGTACAACTTCAAACCCGTGATTAAAATGTTGAAAAGTAATGCCACAATGATGGAACAAACTTGCTTAGGAGAATAGGATGCTTTTCATAATTTATGAGTGCTCATCAGAGCAAAAGAGCAATTCATATTTCCATCTTATTCCTAAATCCCAAGAATAAGAAAATCATTTAGAAGGCTAATAAAAATGTGAGCCTTTTGAAGATGATTAATAGCACAACACAGTATTCAAGCACATATAAGACATAAATTTGATAATTATGATAGTCATTCACAAGTTGATTCACAGCAAAGAGATGACAGTAAAAGAAACACTTGCCCAGGCATATAACAGGAGTCCTTGTATCCTTAAAACCACGGAATATGCCTTGAAGAGCCAAAGAAAGTACAACTGCTGGAGCACCAAGTGCTCTTAATGAGAGAAACTGCTGCGCTGGAATGAGTGTAGGATTTTCCTGTTGAAAAGAATATATTAAAAATTTATTTTATCCAAAAAATAAATATTTAGAAAATGCCACCTGTTAAATTTAGATTTGTGCACTCTGAAGATATAATCAACAGATTACAAGAATCCTAAAGAGAATATTCACGACTAAAACCCTGTTACGTATAAACCCAATTCCATTGTAGAAAATATGACCATAAAATATAAACAAGATAAACCCTCAATTATCGAACAGTCTTTAATAAAAATAAATCATACTTTTGATATGCCCATTAAATGCAGAAATGCTCCAGATCCCATAAACAAAGCTAAAGCCTCAAAAATGCCAATCCACAAAGCTAATAACAAAGCAGTGGACACGGAGGATAGTTGCTTTCTTTGGGGAATTACTGCTAATGGTTTGCCATTCTCACTACTTTCAACAACAACATGCCCTACAGGGAAAATTAATTCCATCAGATGACCCTTTTTTGTTATAACCGAAATACAATTAAAATAAAATAAACATAATCTATGAAAAATCTCAGCATAAATTCACCTGAAACAGAATCTTGATCAGCATTTTTAGCTATGTCCTCAGCCACAAAGGAAGTCGCAACACTAAGAAGCGGAATATTAAATAACTTTGATACGACATTGAATATGGATATGGAAACACCAGCAGAAGCCAACTCCACAGTGCCTGATAAATATTGAAAATTATGCAATTAAAGCTCCACGAACCAAAAAAAAACCTTCTTTACAATTGTCCAGAGATAGGAAGCATAAATTCTACCCAGTCGACCAATATATGCTGTCTCCATCAACTGTGCCAGAGGATCAATTGCCTGACCAGCGAGAGCAGGCAAAGACAGCATCAGAAGCTCACTTTTGACACTGGTGTAATGTGGTTGGTTGACAGGAGATGCTGGTAACTGACTGTCAATAAGTTGAGGCGAAAGTACCATTAGCATTAAAGTAATAACACTGAAAGGAAAATAAATGCTTGCACCAAATGTGTGTGTTACAGGATGAACGCAATGGATGAAAGTAGCACCCAAGCAATCATTTTGTATTTTACAATTGACACATTATCACGAAGAACATCAGAACAAGCATAAAAATGGCATTTCACATGCAGAGGAGAGTCTTTGTGGAGACTTCCTTTGTTTCTCTCAAAATATCACAGGCGAATAAAAACTGGGCATACAATAACAGTATTCCCTAAACAGAAAGTCGTGACCAATAAAGCAGAGCAGACTGAGAAGTTGGCTCTTACACAGTCCCTTCATCAGAATTTGTCAGAGGATGCTCCCGTTCTGAAGCCAAGGAGTCGTTAACATCAGCAGAAACTAGACCAAAATCAGAATTCGACTGATTGCCAACCACTGGAAAACGCGGTCTCCTGCGATGTGTTATCAAAGGGGAGCACAAGGATGTATTCTTGGCAGAGAATCGGCAACCTCCCACCACGCCCTCAATGTTCAGTAAAGGCCTCCCATCGCTTTTCGCGACAAAGTCACAGCCTAAACCCCTCCGAAAGGAAGAACATGTACTTGTCGACTTATTTATATCGTTGCAAGTGCGGGTCCTCTTATATAACCCATTAGAGACAAAACCAGTACAGAAATGGGTGGACTTCATGGCCTGCGGTTGTAATTATTCTTCAATGGCATCATGCAACAAAACAAGAAAATCAATATGCCAAATTGAGTTCCTAATTCAAAACATATTACGATAACACTGACATTGATATCGGGAATACAAAATACTAACTATGCTAATGCAGAAATAGGACAAAGAAGAAGGGCAATTCTCTCAACAAGATTCGTCCAGAACAAATTAAAAGTGAAACATAAAAATAGAGGAGAAAGAAGATAATGAAACATGAACGGAACGTGCTTAGCGTTGAAGGTTATATTAAAAACTAAAGCGAGACGGAATGAGGGAAAGGCGTTCGCGAAGATAGAAAGTACATTGCAGCGCTTTGAACTTGACAGATATATCGCCGGAGGAAGAGAGGGAAGCTTCGGGTCCGACGTCGAGGGGATGATGTGGCAACCGTCAAAACCTGAACCCGCCAAGTAAGAAGCGCGCATTCCTCGTGGGCTTTTTCTTGTTGGATTGAAATTATTCGGAGTCACGGCGACATCAAACAGCAACGAATTATAGGCAAAAACAGAGATAGAGAGGGAACTGTGGGCCTCGTAAGTTTAAATCATTAAAAAACGTAGCTGTTGGAAGGAAAAGCCATAAACCCAAACCGGATTTAACCTGTTGGGAAAGAATAATTATCGTCAATTTCTTATAGATTCCTCCTTTGAAAAATAATTATTATCAATTTCTAATAAATTTCTCCCTTAAGAAAATCCTGATCAATTTTTAATAAATTCCTCCCTTATTATCATTATATTAGTAGGAGGATATATGCGTATAGCAAAAATTTATTATTATCAGTTTCTAATAAATTCCTCCCTTATTATCAGTATTTTTATTGTTCTAAAAATTTATTTCGTATCTGAAAAACCTCATGATCATTATTGTAGATAGGATTAGAAGGTACTATTCTAATCCTAAATATAAAACTCTTATATACACTAGTATAAAGGTCTTATATTTAAAACTGGAGGAGTATTATTTTTGCTGGCAAAAGAAACAAGGCAATATTTTTTAAATATGTACAAAACTCAAGTTTGGTATAGAATCAGGTGGGTTAAATTTAAAAGAATATTTAATATTTGCATGTCCAATTCGCTGAGTTTTGGTGAAGAAAAAAAAATCCTAGCTAAATTTTATTTTCCTATGTATGAATTTGCCTAGTTTATGAGAAATTCTGTAATTCTAATGAGAGTATGTAACATGCTAATTTTGCTTCTATCAGTGTGAACCAATTTGGAATGTTATTGTTAACGAGATTGCGGTGTGAGTGTTGATTTTAGATGGTTGGTTGTGAGAACCTATGTACAGGATTTTGGGAATTGAGCTGACCTTCCGATTATTAGTATTGGTTTGAATTTTAAAGATGAAAGGTTTGAGGTTGGTACGTTGTATCAAATTCATGTATGATATGAACAGTTGAAATGAACTATGCATTTACATTTATCTTGGCATGTGATTTCAATATCAAATGAGGGGAAGTACGAGGCTCTTGAAACTTTTTATTCTTTTTTTCCTGAATAACTTTGAGATGAAATGCCTTGTTTTATGTTTGTTGGCGTTAGGAGGCAACATGATCAGTAAAGCTAAGCAAGATTTGAGATGGGCACCTTTGGAGAGGAGTGCTTCCTATTAATAGTAAGTACAGTAGTTAATCAGAAACACAGCCAAGGGAGCTCTTTTTTCTTATTTAATAGAGTTGTAATGTCATTGGATTACAAAGTCAATGATAAATAACGAGCTGAAAAATGGGAGTTTTCATGTCCCCAAATTAGAAAATATTGATAATAGAAATATAGCAAACACTTTTTGAGGTGGAAGCAAGTTGAAAGGCTATTCCTCGTCTTCTAATTTCCAAATTCAAACGAATGTATGACCCCAGGAACATAGGTTAGAAAGTGAAGGATGGATGCATTTTGAATTTTCGGAATAGTAAATGGCATCGTTTTGAAGATTTGAAAATAATATTGACTGACCCTTAATTAAGGGGGACCACCGAAAACAAGACAGGACTAATAACTATGTCTCATTTTGATGGTTCATTGTTGATTTCAAAGACAGACGCATTACGCCATTACGGTAATCTGCGTTTCAAATGCCCACTTCCAACGCTATTGATCTTCTCAGGTCTGATTTAGCATACAAAAGCAAACTTTCCAGATGCTTCGATCTTCGCCTCAAACTGCTAGCTCATCGCGGCTCGTCACATTCTTTGAGAGGTGAGACTATTAGTGGGAGATCATTAATATTCTCAAACTGGGATCTTGAAACTATTTTATTCTCACAGAGAAGCGGTGGAGTGTGCTGACTATGTTGCTGGCAGAGCTCATGAAACAAGCACGGATATGTCCATTATGTGAGATCCGCTTGCTTTCTCCTTAGATTAAATTCGGTTAGATCTAGGTTGTTCACCCCGAGCTTCTGACCCCGTTTTGTAATCTGTTGTCCATTTTTCCTAGTACTTGCCTTTATATCCCCCCCCCCCCCAAAAAAAAAAAAAAACACACACACAGCCATGCCTGTCAAAACTTTGATGGAACAAGAGTCCCGAGAATAATCATTTAAATCACTTCACAGTATTGAATTAGAAGTTCAATTCATTTTAATTGAATCAATCAAGCCAATGGCATTCGGATAAGAAATCAGCTTGTTGAATTATTAAAGATATTAATGCCAACCAGGATGTCTACGACCACAAACTCTAGCACTCGCTTATCATATTGGTAAGCTGAATATTTTAGATAGCAAGTAATATGATTTGAAACAACCAATCACACAACATCGACAATAGCAATTCCTTCTTCTTCTTTTTATTCCTTTTGCTTTGTTAATACATTCAGTAATTTTTGAGCTCTACGAGCAAATGAGCAATTGAAATTACTATTTTATTTCAGAATCCTGGGAAAAACATCCTTCAAAAATGTAATAAAATGTGAAGTTGAGAAGCGGATTAGTAACAGCAGGTACTCAAGCGCGCAGGAACGATAAATTTTGATGACAGTGTCGTCGGTTGATATTGCAGGAGTTATAAACTCTGAAACACACACAGACCTCCGCATGGAAGCGCAGTAATTATATCCCTTGTGAGGTAAAATCTCTTCCCTCTTTTTAAATGCTTCCAACCCACCCAAGTTAGAACCCAGAACTCCGCAAAACGCCCTCAAGAGCCAAAGAAAGAACAAATGCACTCTATAAGGATACAAAAGACATTTGATAACACTTGCACAAGAATATATCACACACAGCTCAAAGTCTCCCCAGCATGAATCCTGCCACATCAATACAAAATAAGCAGCACAAAAAAAAAAAAACAAGGTAAACGTCAATGATTTAACAGTCCGAGTCAAAGTAGACGCACCCCCTATGTTTTAGCGTGTTCCAGATCCGTAAAACGAGCTAAAGCCTGAAAAAAGCCAATCCCTAATGCTAACAGCAGAGCAGTGGACACGGAGAATAGATGCTTTCTTCAAGGAATTATACCCCGCTCTACCCACCTTATGTGACTTGTTTGTTATCAAGGAAACAGAACCAAATTGATAAACATAATTGAGGAGACTTCTCGGCATAAATTTACATAAAACAGAACAATAGTGGCAACACTTAAGAATAGTGGCAATAGTTAGAATTATCCGTGACTGAAGCAATCATGAAACTCACGTCCGTCTTCTCGAATTGTGTTTAAATTATCCGTGAACTCAGTTTCTGGTCCGAGTTGCATCCAGAACAGGGCACTGCTAAAACTAGCGCTCCTCCAAAACCAGATTACCAGAATAACCACCTCCCAACATCCAGTTAGTGTTTTGCTATAGGTAATGATTGGAGGAACCAAACAAGGAGGCGTGATTATTCGATCAATTCCGTGATGCCATTTCGATAAAAAGTAGCATAAAGTAAATGTGAAACACAATGGTTCTTTTATTATTTCTTCTACATCCAAGCACAAATGATTAAGTTCTACATGAAAATTCAGAATTCATAAAGGTACAGGATACGTGGCATTCAATTCACTGCAAAAGACAGACACAAAAGCAGATAAAGTGAAGGGCCGTGAAAAGATGATTCCAACCCCAGCCCTGGAAGCTGATCCTGGATGCTCCCGATTCTGTTGAAGCTGTTGGAGCTGTTGGAGCTGTTTGACAACAATTGGAAACACACAAGCATATCATCATAACTGGTAGTAAGCGGCAAGAGTGTAATAAGAATTGGTGATAGGGGAAGCACTAACCAGGACAAGTGGACTCGTTGACAAGAGCGGTGGCTATAGTTCGGTTGTTATAACCATCGTAAGCACAGATGGTGCGAGTGCAGGTATTTGTAGAAGTGATGTTGCCAATGGTTGAACTACCGCAAACCATGGCTGGGCATTTACCCCATCTATATGGTTTGACTTGCGATGGCTCGCATTGTAATCTAGCCCCACAGACCGTCAATCATTAGTCAAAACAGTAAAAAAGTAAAAAGGCGTAACGGTTTGAGATAAGGTACTGACGTGGCGTTATTGGCGGCGGAGTTACAGCTGCACTTGACGCAACCATTGGCTGTGTAGGTGTCGGTACCATTTGCAACGAGCAGAGGATAGTCCAAGGAGTCATTTTTCACCGATGAGGAGCATGCTGGATCACAACAACAACACACTCAATAACTCATTTCAGCACCATAATTCTCTAACTTCAAACAAAATCGAAGAAGGGGAAACCTTTGAGGGGAACATCGATGATTTGACCGGCTTGAAGGGACTTGGGATCAGAAATGCCGTTGAGGTCGAGAAGGGTGTCCAGGGTGGTGCCGTATTGTTGAGCAATCTGCTGAAAGGAGCTTCCCGTAGCCACCAGATATCCATAATGGACGGCACCAGTGCCGTCCACCTGATCGCAGCTGCAAGGGAGAGGGATCCACACCTTCTGGCCGGGCTGAATCTTTGTAGGGTCCGGTATGTTGTTGAGCGTTTGGAGTTGTTGGTAAGTGACCAAACGCGAGAACACTTCCATGGCTATGTGGGAAAGCGTGTCGTCTTTCTGGATGGTGTAGAGAGGCGTCTTGTTGGACAAGCCGGTGCCGTTGGAGCACATGCACTGAAAGGGGATTTTGATAATTTCGCCCTTTTTAACGGTGCGGTTGCCTCGGGTGGAGGAGGGGAGGGCGTTAGCGCCCACTATGTCCAGAACGTGCTTCAAGTTGAAGAGCTTTTGAATGTGGCCTAAGGTGGTTTCATTTGGGGACGAATAATCCACCAGAGAACGACACGTTTTACCTTGCGAGCTGCATTTGAACCTCGCCTCTCGCTGAGCCTCCACCACCGCCCATGATGCGGCGGCAATACCGAATATGATTACCAGTAATAACCGGGCAAGGCCCATTTCTCCTTCGACCTTTCCAAGCCGGATGGGATAAACTACAAAGAGTTATATAATTAGCTGCGAATGGTTTCGCCCAGCGAAGACGCAGCCCCAAACGGGATCTAAGTGAGAAACTGAGAGAAAGGCTTTGACTATGGCGGAGAAGACTTGGAAAGGAGATTTTTCGGCCAAGGACTTATAAAACTGGGGTCTAAAGTGGCGAGTTTAGAAAACTGGGGCTGCATTATTGGACATAAGCGCGTCGAGCAGGAGCCAATTCCGGGTGATGGTACTATATTAATGTTGCGTGAGTTGAAGCTTCTTTTTTTTTTTTTTTTTTACCAACGCATAAAAGTTCCAACTTCAAATCTGGTGAAAAGGATTCTGTTGCACAGACAAGGGCCAAATGCAGCCTCGTGGCTTCAAATGGACCTTTCAACTGGTAATGGAAATAACACTATAAAAAGGGCAGGGACAAAAGCATGGTATAAAAAACCGGACCGGACCGGCCTGTTCAGACTAAAAATCGGTGAACTGGTTATTAGTCCGGTCTGGTTCAATTTATGAACCAGATTCCAAGCAACCCAGGAAAAATTGGTATGAACCAGTAAAAAACCGATGAAACCAAGCAAACCACTGGGTCAAGTGGGTTGATCGTTTTTTTTTTTTCTTGAGAGGTATGCATGAACACAGGAGAAGAAGAAAAAGAAGAATGGGAAATAAAAGAAACAAGAGGGAGAAATAGAAGAAAGAGAAATAAAAGCTGTGAAAACCTGTTTTGAAGCATCATATATTGCATGTTGCAAAGAGATACACTGATGAGAGGGGATGATCGAAAGGGATGTAGAGAAAAGAGTGAATGGTGGCAAGGGAGAGGACCAGCGAGAGAACCAGGAACAAGTGAAAGGAAAGATGCTCATCGGCTATCAGCTAGTTAGGTTCAAAATGGCTACAGTATTTACTTCTCTCATTATCTTATCACCGTTCAATTTCAATCTCTCACCAGCTCCCACAATTACCAATGCCCAAACTTGGAAGAGAGTGCCAGAACAGTTTATTCAAGCTGGCTTTTTTTCGATAACCACACCTAGTCTTGTAGAAGGTCAGAAAGTGCATTGAATACTTAAGAGTTTGTATACACCTTTTAGTGAAAAAAAAAACAAAGAAAACCATTTTGAAGGTACCTAAACTTTTTTTCAATTTTTAATTTGGTACCTATACTTTTTTTGCTTCTTTAAAAATCCTTTAACTTTCCTCTGTTTATGCCGTTAGCCCTCATACTTCAGAAAACGCTCTCAAGGGCTAATAGAAAGATACACAGCGTTAAAGGATAAAAGGAAGAGGGAAAAACTTGAAGACATAAACACACGAACCATTCAAAGAAAGAGCATCATCTCCCCTATTCTTAGATGACGAAGACAGCGCCATTGATAACCTGCTAGGGCTGCAACACAATCTCTATTCCATTAAGTAAGGAGTTCGATTAGTGTACAACACAAGGCATTTTCATTATATTCTTTAATTTATTTTAATCTTGTATGAATGTGCTGGGTCTCTGTTCTTCCATCTTCTCATGAGTTATGTCGTCCTTTATGTGTGTGCTTCCTATAATGGGTTCCTTCTTCATTGTTCTAACTCATTATTGCCATTTAGGTTTAAAAATGAGTGTGTTTAAAGCATCAGAAAAAAAAGACTGAAGATGATCACTCACATGATATTTTGTCTGCCGAGGACAGTGATGAAGCAGAATTAGAGGATGATTATTTTCATCATTTTATCGAGGGTGATGTAGTTGAAGATGTTGGGCAAGGTAGTGGGGGTTCTTTTAATATCTCTGAAAATCAACTTGAGTGTTTAAAGATAGTTCCTACGCCTAGGCAATTGGAAGACAACATTGGAGATATGGTGTCTGATTTGGAAGATGATGAATTGTATGAAGACTATGTGTCAGATGAGGAAGAAAATAAAAAACTGCCAAAGAATATAAAGTACAATCCTACTATGATGTCTAAAGATTTTGAATTTAAGCTTGGAATGGAATTTACTTCAATTGAAGAGTTTAAGAAAACTGTGAAGGAGTACTGCCTCATCCATGGATATGATATTAAGTTTTTGAGAAATGAGAAACATAGATGTCGAATTATATGTAAAAAGAAATGTGGTTGGTTAATATTTGCTAGTAGAGTTGGTGACTCATTGACATATATGTTGAAAACATACAACCCAAAGCATTATTGCTGAATAACATTTGCTTCAAGGTTGGCTTCATCTGAGTGGATTGCAGAAAAGATAGTACCACATGTGAAGATGAATAAAAATATGAAGTTGGCAGATGTGGTTTCAACTATAAGAGAAGGTTATATGGCCCAACCATCAATTAATAAGGCATATAGAGCTAGGAAGCTAGCAAGGGAAATGGTTGAAGGAGATCACACAGAAGAATATCATGTGTTGAGGGACTATTGTAATGAAATTAAGGAAAGGATGCCCGGATCTACATTTTGCCTTGTTACTGATAGGCCATATGTAGACCAACCACTTGTATTTAGAAGATTGTATCAATGTCTTGAACCGATAAAAAGAGGTTTTAAGTCAGCATGTAGGCCAATCATTGGGTTGGATGGATGCTTTTTGAAGGGCCAATTTGGACGTATATTGTTAGTGGCTGTAGCTCGTGATCCTAATGATCAATATTTTCCATTAGCTGTGGCTGTGGTTGAAAGCGAAAGTAGGGATTCTTGGACTTGGTTCTTGCAAAACTTACTGGAGGATATTGGGAGCATGGCTGAAAAAAGATGGGTATTTATTTCAGACCAACAAAAGGTAAATATTAGTTATCTTTTGGGGATTTTGATTGTATGTAAATACCAAAAATCACATTCAGATTAGATTTAGTTTACATCTATAATTTATATCAATAATAATAACTTGTGTGTAGAATAAGGAGTAAGTAGAGGCATCAGATTTTGTGCGGGTGTGTGAAGCAACGTGTATTACATAATATCTTTTAATTTAAAAGTATCTGTGTTTGCTCCCATTGATTTTAATGATTATATGTTTTACTTTCAGGGGTTAGTTCAAACATTCGAACACTTGCTTGAAGGTGCTGAACATAGATATTGTGTGAGGCACTTGTATGCCAACATAAAATCAAGATATGGAGGTGGAACCATAATAAGAGATCTAGTTATACGTGCAGCAAAGGCAACTTATAAGAGAGCATGGGAAGAACAAATGATGCAACTGAAAAATGTCTCTAAAGAGGCATATGATCACTTGATGAGTTTTAAACCATCTTGTTGGACAAAGTCTCATTTTTCAGAGTACTCAAAATGTGATATGATTATGAATAACATATCAGAGTCTTTTAATGGTAGATTATTGGAGGCAAGAGAACTTTCAATTATTAGTTTGCTTGATTGGATTAGAGCTTATTTGATGACAAGATTTGCAGAAAATCATATTAAAGCAGCAAAGTATCGTGATAAGGGGAGAGTATGTCCTCGACCTCGTAAAAGGCTTGACAAAGAAGTTGAAGGGTCCAAAAAATGGATAGCAATAGAGGCTGGAAATGACCTCTTTGAAGTATCGTGTAACTCTCATCGTTTCTCGGTTGATCTAAAACTCAGGAGTTGTGAATGCAATTGGTGGCAATTGACTGGAATTCCATGCAGGTATTTCTTTAGGTTACTCCCTAATTTCATGGTTATCATTATCAACATTAACAATATCCTATCATGTCTTGCAGGCATGCTGTTTCTTGTATTTATGCTAAGCAACAAGATCCTCACAACTATGTTGATGCCTATTTGACTATAGAAAAGTACGCTGATTGCTATTCTCCTGTGCTGCAACCTATAAATGGAAAAGATATGTGGGTTAGAACAAATTTGGAACCCATTGATCCTCCAGTATACCATAAACGTCCTGGCAAGCCAACCAAAAAGCGAAAAAAGGAGAAAGATGAGCCACTACCTAAAAACAAGCTTAGAAGAAGCAATATAACTCTTAAGTGTAAGCGTTGTGGGAAAAAGGGACATAATCGAAGAACTTGTAGTGAAGCACTCAGGCAAGCTTTGAATGCTAGCTCACAGGCTACTTGTAGCTCACAGCCTACATGTAGCTTAGAAGGTGGAATTAGCCATCCTTAGTGCATTGATGGAAATGTAATCTTTTTGGACATATAGGCATAGTAAATGACTTGGGTAAATGTATTTTGTTGTTTTTGGATGTAGCTTTAGATCCCAAGTAGTACTTGATGGTTCTGCCCTTTTTTGTAAATTACTTGGGTATTATTTAGGATATGTTGCGATCCTAAATACTCTTTTGGATCTCTAGGCTTCAGCAAATGACTCCTTTTTTGTTGTATGCAATTTATGATTATTATATGGACATGTTAAATGATTTTGTAAACAGAATTTGGTCCCCAATCAAAATGATAAATCAGTAACAAAATGATTATCATATGTTCTGACAAAGTTAAAATCAAAATGTTTTTTTAATCTTGTCCATGTTTATACATAAGGAGCAAAATGAGACAGCAAGTTGTTATTATAAATCAGTAGAAATATTATATTATGGTTGGTTAAGAAACTTTATTAGTTTGTCCCTCTGTATCAGCAACAGAATGTCATAGCAAGGTATTATATTATGATTGTGGTCCCAATCTTGTTTAATTCCATTATTCAGAAACTTTATATGAGGAACACAGCGTGACAGCAAGAAAAAAACTGTTTCTTTCCATTACATCCACAAAGCCAATCTTCATTTCATAATAATTTTTCCTTCAATACAACATAAATGGTTCAGAAAATTCACTCACATTATGTCACAGTACAAAATGCTCACTACATTTCATAAAATTCTCATCACAGTACAACAAATACACTAGAAGACAACTTCCCACTATCCTACAAATTCCAAATGGCTATTGCTCTATTGATATAAACTTCTCTGATGGGATCTCCCAATTGTAACAGCAACCAAACAGCGAATACCTTCACTGTTTTGCAATGAATGTGCAATGGATGGTTCTCAACACCTAGTGTAGGGAAAAAAAGGCATGATTAAGGTTAATAAATCCTTGAACAACATGTGCTATATAATATATACATTATATTCAATAATTTGTCAACGCATTAACATTATAAAAAAGTTTTACTGTAGATTCCATAAAAACAACTGCAATAATCACACAAGAGTCCAAACCTCATAATTTCTGCTCAGAATTTGCTTTCAGATAAGGAAAAAAATAAAATTTTCATTGAGCAAGGAGACTTGCAACAATGGGAACAAACTTGGAGTAGCACTTTAAAGAGCACAATAATAACTAGCCTTCTAATAGTATCAACGGACACAAGTCGAATAACATGATTCTTAAAATCAAGGTTGGCTGCTTTCTAAGCATTTTCATCCCCTATTCACATTTAAATATTTACATACAGCTGGAAATATAGGTTCAAGCTAACAAACTAAAGTTTAAAAGACAAAAATTAAAGCAAAATCAGCTGACCGAAGAAATTCTAAGACTTTTGAGATTGAGCAATTCTATATTCTAACAATTGAAGATTCTATATGTTGATTAATAGTTGTGACAAAAGGAGAATCAAATCGCATGAAAAGACAAATTGCATGATCTCACCCATTCCAATAGAAGCCACTTTCTCACAAAAGGGAGAAGCAAAATTGCATGGGCTAGTAGAAGTCGAAACGGAGAACCCTTCCTCCCTCTCCAAGTCCATTGAAGAAAATCGCATAGTCCATTGAAGAAAATATCTTTACGTAAGGTTTTGATTCCTCTCCAAGTCGTGTAGAGGATTGGACCCCTGCATCTATCGAAAACCCCCTCTGCGTTGAAGTTCAGTTTTGAACAAGAAATCCCATTTTAACAGTGTTAGTTCCTCCGTTGGCCCTTGGTTGTGTTTTCCGAAATATGAGGGCTAACGGCATAAACGAAGGAAAGTTAAAGGATTTTTTTAAAAAAACAAAAAAAGTATAGGTACCAAATTAAAAATTAAAGAAAAGTTTAGGTACTTTCAAAATGGTTTTCCCAAAAAAAAAATTATTAGTGGGATGTAAGGAATTATAAAACGCAAATCTTTACTAATTATTATCCAAAAACAATCAATATAAATAAAAAAGTATCCTTTTTCGTATATTATTTTTGAAATATTTTTCAAACTCTTTATACATCATTTAAATTTATTATTTATTATATTTATCTTTATATATTTATTATTATTATCATCTAAAATAATCAATCTATATTTGTTGGCAAAAAAATGACTAATGTATATTTAAAATATATTTGTTGGTAGCTTCTTATATTTTTTTCGGTGATTATTATTTGTGAATTTTGTTCTATTTTAATATTGTGAATTAAATTTTATTATTTTAATATGACTGGTCTGACCCCGGTCTGACTTTGGTCCGACCAGTGACCTTTGACCCACTGCCTAGGCCAGTTTAATTCCTAGTCTGGTTTTTTGTTCCTTGGGCAAACAAAAGACAAGAGACTTGGATAATCAAAATTCAGAGAAATTTTTGCATGCTCCTAGTGTGTCGGTTCACATAAACTCTGGCCAATCAAAAAATAACACCTTGTTCAATTTCACTCCTAACAGGCTCTTCTCATCAACGGACGGACCATTGACAACGCTTTAGAAATGTGATCTTCATCTCTTGGCTTGACTTCTCTAGCCACCATCATTCTTTTCTCTTCCCTCCCCCTACCTTCCTGTCCTCCTCCTTCTGGGCAATCCCATTCCTCTTCTCTCTTTCTCTCACGGTCAATCACCCTCCCACCCCACCTCCTCCTTCTTCTTTCACTACGCTGACTGTGAATTGGTTTTTTCCCGGATTACCCCCGGTTGGTAGTAGTACTTGTAAAGAAACAGTTAATTCCAGTCACGTCCTAAAAACACTGTCTTTAAGAACTATTCTGCAACTACCAGCAAATGAGGATGGGGCATTCCCCATAATTAAACAGATTTGTCCTATACAACAGATTAAGCAAAACAGCAGAAGATAATAGTAAACTCAACAGGTAGAAAAACGCACAAGAAGGGGAAGAGAGGAGCTCGAAAACTCTAAAGTTTTTGTATGTCATGAGCCTTAGACTAAAACACCCTATTATAGGCCTCCATGATCTGAACGTTGCTTGCCTCTTAATGATAATAAAATGTCACTTTTGAATGTTGAAAATCATTGAATGATTTGATTACATGATCTAAATCGTCGGAAGCAAAAAAAGAAAGCATTCCATATTGAATTTCGTAATCATCATTTAATACATTACAGATGTTTAAAAGCACCAGAATTTCAAACCTTTCAAGGCATTAAACAATTATAAAAAATTCCGTTCAGCAATTTAAATGCTTCAATGCATTAAAAGATTTTTCCATTTAGGATTTTAATGGGCCATTTTTAAATCTCTTAGGCATTGAAAATCTGTTTATGACATTAAAACTCTAACATTCGATTTTTCTATTCCTATTCCTATTCCTAATAATAATAAGAAAACCTGTCCATGATTGATGCTCAATTTGGTTTTATCTTCCCATATTCCCAATTAATATAGGATCTTTTCTTTGACACGCCCACGCAAATAGCACAACACCCCCTTCATCACCAATAAAAATCAATTGGTTTCTTGCACCGACTGCAAATTGCAGCGTTACGAGAAAGGTCATTGCCAAGTTGTCGAATTCGTCTTTTTTTATATTTCTTGCCTTTCATTTTCTTCTCAAGGCTATTCCCAGATTCTGAACTTTATAAATTTCAGACATTGTTTAATTGATTCCTTCGTGGCCTTGGGCTTTTGGATTTTGTGGGTAATTGTTTGGAGAGCTAAAGTTTCTTCTTTCTCACTATTCTCTTCATAATAAGGGGGGCATGCGTGTGTATTGGTTTGCTTATGTGGTGAAAAGGGGTTTTGTGGGAAAAAGGAATTTTTGAGTTTGAAATTATGTACAAGTGTGTACAATGCAGATGTAATATGAAGGAGCAAGGTTTCATGGGTGACTGAAGAGGAAGGAAGCAGGAGGGAAGAGAAAAGAATGGCGCCATTAGTAATCCGTTGATGGGGAGAATCAACTAGGATTAAAACTGGATGATGTGTTATTTTTTTGATTAGTCAGAGTTGATGTGAGCTGATACTTGTTGAGCATACAAAAATTTCCCACAATTCAAGAGCGGAACCGGCCAGGAAACCACTAGAAAATATTGGAACTCACAGTTGACAATGTACCAATGTTTAAAAAAACACGAGGGAAAATTTCACTTAACGCCCACTGCAGACATTTAATATCCAAAAATCCTAGAAAAAATCTGAAATGTCACTGC